CGGCGCTGGACCCCACGCGCGTGGGTGGAGGATCAATGCGCTATTGCGTTATCCCCCATATCCTACGACGGGATCCCTGTTATTACTTCAACGCCTCTGGACCTCCTTCCTCCTTTTCCTCCTTCTCCTCCTCTTCGTCGCCTTCACTCTTGTAGCACTCAGATACTCATATCCAGATCGATCGCAACCATCCCAGGGTTCATCACAAACCTGACGCACCCCCTCTTCACGGGTGCCGTTACAGACTCACTCATCCTCGCGCAGACTCAGCCACACCACTCCCTCACTCCGACTCACTCAGACTCACCCAGACCCGCTCAGGAAAAATGCATGAAACGCACTGTGGCTCATTCACGTTCACACCCTATCATTCCGACACACTCTTCCGCACTCCGACTGGCTAAAACTTTTCTGATGGTCCACTGCTCAGCCCGGTATAGCAAGCGTGGCTCTGGGGCACCCACAGGGGGAGCCGCCAGGGGCGAACACACTCCAAAAGCCGCGCCCAGATTGTGGGGATGTCTCGAACGGTTTACCTGCTTCTGCCCCCCGGCACTATTCTTTTTAGTTGGACAGTCCAATACTTGCGCGATAGAGCAAGCATGGCACTTGGGCGTCCCAAAAAGGGCCGCAAGGGGTGAGCACACTCCCAAAGTCACGCATTCCAAAACTAGCGCCCAGCTTGTGGGGATGTCTCAGGCAGTTTGCCTGCTTCTGCCCGCCACGCTCCGCTCTTGTGGTGGTCGAATGCCCACAGCGATGTAGCAGGCGTGACGCTTAGGCACCCCAGGAGGGAACTACCAAGTGCGAACATACTCCGAGCGTCGCGTCCAGATTGAGGGGCTGTCTCAGGCGGTCTGCTTGCTTCTACCCCCCGAGACTTCCCTCATTAGGTGATTTAGTGTTCACCGCGACATTGCAGGCGTGGCATTCGGATAACCCGAAGGGGGAGACCCCAGAGGTGAGGGGGACACTCTAAAACATCGCGCCCAAATCGTGGGGGTGTCCTAAGCGGGTGGCCTGTTTCTGCCCCCCCTTCAAAGGCTCTCTCTCTCTCTCTCTATCTCCCTTGGTGGTCCAATGCTCACCACGAAACAGCAGGCGTGGCACTTGGGCACCCATGGGGGAACGCCAGGGTGGGGGCAATCCAAGATTCGCGTCCAGATCGAAGGGGTGTCTCACGCGGTTTGCCTGTTTCTGCCTGGCAAGCATTTCTTTGGACTTGTGTGCCCCCCGCTCGCTCACGCACATCCTTCCCTTTTGCCCCACCCGGACGCACCCACCCGCACTCTGACTTACACAGCATCACCCTCGTCTCACTCGACTCACGCATCACATTCCTACCCACTCAAACCCGGACGAACTCATACCCAGACTCACTCACACGCACGCGCTCAGAATCCGACCCCTTTAAACTCAGACTCGTCCCCCCTCATACCCACTCGCACCCAGACGACCTCGCACCCAAGCTCACTCATAGCCAGATCCAACAGCATCACACTCAAACTCAGGCTCAATCGCAGCCAGGCTGACTCACACTCAGACCCACTCGCGCGTAGACCCGGTCGCACTTATACTCAATCGTACTGAGATCCACTCGGACCAATTCTGGCTGCATCCAGACTCAATCACACTATGGCTTAATCGTATACGACGAGCCACTCGCACTCCGACTCAATGACACTCAAAGCACGCACTCTCATATTCACCTCGCGCTAAGGCTCACGCGCGTACAAGTGGCTACCGCGATTTAGCCCGTCTGGCATTTGGGCACCCCAAGTGCCAGCAAGCACGGCGAGTAGCACGCCAAAGAGTGGGGTAATAACGTCATGCGCGCTTGCCCGAGTTGCCGCGGGGGTAGCGGCAAGAAGAAGTCCCCCTCGCTCTTTCGCGTGTGTTTCCATACCTCGATTGAGAAATGTCCAGAGGACGAAGGCGTCATTGAAGTCGTCGCTGCCGTCGTCGTTGTCGTTGGCGCGCCTGTCGTCTTCGTGGACTCGCCCTCACACCCAGATGCTTGCAGACAGGACTCCTCCGCGAGACGTGACAGGATGAGGAGATGCACCTATGGGGATCCCAGTGTCGAGCAGCCGGAGGCTCACCGTGGTAGTTGCGCTTCCAAGCTCGCACGACTCTGTTTCGTTCCATGGTGCACACTCCCGTGGCGTTGCCCGCAACATCTCGAGCGAGCTTGTGAGCGAGCGTGCGGGCGAGGCGGGCGAGGCGGGCGAGCCGGGGGGGGGGGGGCGAGCCGAGCGGGCGTGAGCGCTGGCGCGCGAGGGCAGGCGCGTGCGCGCGAGCGCGCGGTCTCCTGGGCAGGCGTGCGGACGTGCGCGTGGGCGAAAGGGGCGGGCAGGCGGGCGGGCCGGCGGGCGTCGGTCATAAGGATGTGTCTCCCCCTGCAGTGCCACGTGACGCGCAGGCTCTCTCTTCAGATTGTCGCCGCCCCCCCCTGCGTTGCCGCGTGACGAGAGGAGTAAGGTAATATATCTTCTGCCAGGCTGCGCTACCACCTGACGGACGACGTAGACTAGTGTATTGTCCGCCTCCCTTCCGCAATGCCGTGTGCGGAACTGAAATGGCATGCTATGTGTTACGCCCTGCTCTGCGTTACCATCCCTCGACAAACGTACAACAACAACTGCCTCACCACATGCGCTGAAACGTGTGACGACGGACGGATTATCCAACTTCCTCTCGACTACACGCAGGAGTGATCCTAGGCAAGAGTGACCCTTGGTGCGCGGCTTTCAAGGGGCCGCGGGGGGCCCACTTCCAAGCGAGCAGGCGGGTGTTCGGGGCACCACTGTGGGCCCGCACCAAGATTCACTCTGGTCAAGGGTCACTCTGACGAGTAGCCGAGGCTTGCTCTTGGCACGCCGAGTTTCCTAATCAACGCCGGGGGAGCTCCAACCCCGCCGGCAGCCCAAGACTAAACGCCCGTCGCGGAGAGCCTCCGCGCGCCCCCGGCGCTCAGACCCCAGGCGCAATGCCCCGAGGAGCCTGACTCCCGTGGGCCCTGTCTCTCCCGCGACAGACGAACCCTACCCCCACCGACCATCGATTCTGTTGAATCGATGGGAGGAGGGGGTGAGATGAAATGCTCGCCACGTGTTCGGCGAATTCTGAGCCCTACCCCCGCCGACAATCGAATCGCCTGAATCGTAAATCGGCGCGGGAGGGGTTCGGATTCCGCCGCCGGTCACGCGTACTACCGAATGCGAGGCGGTCGACGTCTTCCGCCTGTCTGCGGCAGGCTCGTGCCGTGATAACTTCGGCGCAGGTTTCTGACACTACCTGGCACGTTCAATATTGAGCGATCACGGCTTCCCGATGGCGCGGATCGTTCGACATCGGCCGCTTCTGGGCCACTGGCGGCGTTCAACCTTGAGCGCCCGCGCTGGGGTCGGCGCTCTTTTAGGGCCCCAGGAGGAGCCCAAGACGGGGAACTCCATACGATAGTCCCCAAGACCCCCAACATGCCCCCAAGAGATTTTCCAGTGTAAGAAGCCCTTCAAGCGCTAATGTTTGAATGTTTCCACAGACCAGGGCGGTGATCAGGACTGATAGCGGTTCCCCCCCGCGTGAGGAAGAGAACACACTTTTTCCTAGAGGGTATGAGCGTTGCTCCGCCGAAATGTACCTCGCGCCTGCGTTGAGGCCAGCCGGCAGCACGCAAAAACGCATCGCACGTGACTGAGCTCAGGGGCGGCAGCCCCAGGAGACCAGGACACGCAGAGCCAGAAGACCCAACCAGGAGCCGGCAGCTCGAGGGGCCTGAGGAGGTACAGTGACGAAGGCACTGCGCCAAAAACAAAGGCCAGCAGCCGTGGCACGAGGGGCCAAGCCAGCTGGACTGACAGGCGCCACCGACGAGGTGGCGGCCAAAGGGGTATGGCGCTATCCTCGCCACAAGCTGGACACGCGGTCCGCGCGGCCAGTCAAGACACTCAGAAAGCTGAACAGTACCACCCGTAGACGAAACACCACGGGCAGCACGAGCCTACAATGCGGGCGCGGCCGCAAGAAACCCTCACAAGACACCCAGCCCTGAGGACCCGTGCGCGAGGTGCACCCGAGGGGAAACCTGGAGCACCCTGAACGCAGCAGCTCCTTCAACGGCCGCGGGAAGTCACCGCGCAGCGCGAGGAGCGAAGAAACCCAGGGTACCCTGACAAAAAGCATGTGGTTTCTTGATGCGCGCCCCCACTGTACGCGCCAAGAGAGGCGCGCAGGGGACCAGGCAGCAAAAGGCAAGGCCACGAGACGAGATCGTCCAGGCGTGCCACAGTTTGAAGCTAGTCGGCCCAACTAGTCGAAGTCCTCTCTGTTGTCAACATCGCGCGGCAAAACCAAAGGGCGCTCGCCCCCCCCATCTCGGAAATCTTGCGCCACTTGGCGGGGAGCGTGCGCAGAAGAAACTGAAGATGCAGCGTCAGCTCTGAAGTGCGCTGCAGCCTGCTCGACCCTACTTCCTCTGTAATCTAAAAGGAGATCAGAGGCAGATAATCGAAGACTGTTGGAATTATAACCATCGGCTAGATCATATGGGGGGCAATCAACACAACCGTCCTTACGCTGCGGGTGAAGCCCCCTGGAGATAACCGACCAAACCCAATTACCGAATGTAACGCGAGCTCGTCACAGAGCTCCGTTGGCCCCTTGAAACGCCAGTGGGAGCAATGCGTTTTGC